CAGCAAGCCATTATACCTTAAAAGATTTTCTTAGATTGAGAAAACAAAACATTAAGAGAATCATCAGTGTTCCAAAATAAAGAAATTGTAAAAAACTATAATTCCTTTTAATTAGTCTACCAATTAACTTTTGTTGTTTTGACCTTTGTGAACAATTTCACAAACCCATCAGTTTCTTCATTAGAATTTTGGAACTTCCGTTTAAAGCTATGAACTCAAAGTTTGTCAGAAACTGTAACTATCAGAGTTTTTTCCATGAAATATTTGAAGACATAACATTTTAAGATTATAATTAAACCAAGATTATGACCGGTAGCATTTATATCAAGAAACAGATATTTAAGAACCTTACAAGATTTTGGAATACATATCCATAACACCTTCAGTACTGACAATGCTTTCCCAATATAGTCTAATTTATTAAATAAGCCAAAATAAGCTCTGATACATCTTTTATATATCCTTTGACAAGCTCCAGGGACCTTGGAATTCCTTAAAGTTATTTTAAACTTTCAGAATTTAGTGTTGGAAAGCTGTGTTAAATAACAAAAAAGGTTAAAACACTTAGTTGAATAAAATCACAAATTATTACAAAAAGTAAAACCAAAGTGACAAAGGGTTTTAAAAGCAGAGAGCATAAGAACTTATCATGATAAAACATGGAATAAGCTCTCTAGGCCAGTTATCTAAAAGACAAGGAAAAACTTTTTAGAATTTTGTATTAAGAGCAATCAAGTGTTTTTTTTAGAAAATCTGGTTGTTCCTTCACAGGAGAGCAAGTTCTAACCCTTTATTAGAAATACTTTTGATATTAATTTTCAGAAAAACTCACACATAATTTGTTTTTAAATCCAGTTAATTTTTTACTGTAAAACCCTTTTAACAAACTTACCTACCTAAACCATTACCAAGACTTACTCAGACACTCTGTTTTTGTCCTATACTTCCTACTTTTTAAATAGCCAGTCATTTTACTCTAGGACAAAAATACACTGTACCAGGTGCTTTCTTACATAAAAATTACTATTTTTTTCTAGCCCCTCCACCCATAACCATATCCCCATATCTATAGCCTTTTTTAAATTATCTCCTTTTTACATATTTGTTTCTTTATTATCAATGTCAAATTGGCCAAATTGGCCTAAAAATTATACATGGAAAAAGTTTTTTCTGGTTTTCCCTGGGTTTTTAATTAAAAGCCTGTAGCAAAGACAAACATAATCTTGTTTGATTAGTAAACCCAGGCAAAGATGTACACTGATAAAAACATTTTATATATTCAGGTTAGTAAATGCAGCAAGAGCAAGATTATTAATGGTCC